TTCCATATTGAAGCGTCGACGGGGAACTATTCCACGTTGGATTCTACAAATCCGTGGACCTTCAGGGTCTCCTAATGGTATACTCCCACTAGGTATAGTATCGCTCCCAGTATCTCTAATAACCATCGAATGAAGTTATGATTCCTCATCCTGACTGTTAGATAAGGAAGGTTCTTCAAACTCATAAAGTTCAAGATCCTTTATTACCTCACCAATGCTTGGAAAATCCTTTTCTAGGAAATCAACATCGCGTGACTCTATTTTAGTCATTCCCCCATCTGGGTGTTCACCATACATAACATAGCCCTTAGAGTGCTCTCAATATCTAATAAAAACACATTTATTAGCTTTAGGACCTAATTTCCCATACTTATGAGAAGTATTGTGAACATATCCAGCCGATCCCCATGGGCGTAAACCTTCTAAATTAGGCTTTTCACCATTCCATAACTCATATGGAGTGGTAGGAACTGACTTTGAAGGCACTCAATTAAGGACGTAAGCCGCAATCATTAAAGCATCTCCCTAGTAACTTATTGGGAGATTAGCTTGCGCCATCATCGACCTAACCATGTCTAAAAGAGTGCGAATCCTTCTCTCTATAACACCATTTTGTTGCAGAGTACCAAGAATTGACCATTGTCTACGTATCCCTTTTTCCTCGTATAATCCTCTAAACTGATCAGACAAATATTCTCGATCCCTATCAATTCAGAGAACCTTCAAGTTCCTCTATTTCTAATTCCCAACCTCTACTACAAAGTGTTTGAAATGGTTCAAAGCTTCATAGCGGAGAGCTAACAAAAATATTGAGCAGAAATGCAAGAAATCATCTATAAATGTTATAAAATAAGATACGCCATGTCGTGCCTAGACATTCATTGTTCTGTAATTGTCAGAATGGACTAACTATAGTAGATAAGTAGCTCTAGAAGCCTTACCAAAAGGCTTTCTACATGTCTTTCCAGCTAAATAAGGCTCACATATAGGTAGGCTAACTTTGGCAAGAGAGCTCAATAGCCCTCCTCTAGCCAATCTAGCCATTCTTTCTTATCCTATATGGCTTAGTCTTGCATGCTATTTAATTGAATCGGATACATTATCAGAAAAAGAAGAAGATGCAACACAAATAAGAGAATTATTATTCAATTTTGATTCTAAATCTAACATAAAGAAATCATCCCTCAAACTACTATGACCATAAAATGTCCTACGAAGATAAATTCACAAACTAATGTCCTTCAAATGAGAAGAAAAACCTAACTTTGAAAGCGCTGAAATTGAAAGCAGATTACATCGGACAGTGAATATATGAAGCACATCATGAAGGAGCAAGTTGAGCACAGTACACAACTTGAGCTGAAATGTACCAACTCCTAAGACTTCTTCTTGAGCTCTATTTCCCATATTACATAATTCCTAATAACTGGTATCCGACGATAATCTACAAATCCTGCCCGATCTTTAGCTACATGTTTGGTTGCTCCCATGTCTACAATCCAACCAAGGAGAGAGTGAGCAATAAAAACATGTGAACAAACAAATATATTTAGAGAGCTAGTAATAAGGTGTACTTTCTTCGGCTCAATACACTCCTAAGCAAAGTGACCCTTCTATCCACAGTTATAGCATTTGAGTTTGGATGTATCATTCTTTCCAGCACGCTTGCCTCTACGACGCTTGATTACTCTACTATCTCTTGGATGCCATTTAATGGAATCACATACATTATCAAAAGAAGAAGAAGATGCAACACAAATAAGAAAATTATTATGCAATTCTGATTCTAAATCTAACATAAAGAAATCATCCCTCAAACTACCATGACCATAAAGTGTTCTACCAAAATAAATTGACAAACTAATGTCCACAAAATGAAAAGAAAAACCTAACTTCAAAAAGTGCTGAAACTGAAAGCAGATTACATCGTACAGTGGGTGCATGAAGCACATCATGAAGGAGCAAGTTGCTCCCAATACACAACTTGAGCTGAAATGTACCAACTCCTAAGACTTCTTCTTGAGCTTCATTTCCCATTATTACATAATTCCTACCAACTAGTATCCAACAACCTTGGAAATTGAATTGTGTATTCCATAAGGGAGACTCTAGTAGCCTCTTTATTGACGTGGAGTCCGCAACAAAAAAGGCTTGTAATTTAAGCTTTCGGATCTTACTGCATGGGTTTTTTTCCGCCTAAGGTAACCCATATTTCCATACAATGGTTAGGGGTGTTCAAATATCTGAACAACCCGTGAAACCCTCCTGATCCAGATGCAATACGGGAGATTTCGACTAATAACTCGGTCAACTGCAGATGTAAATTTTAGATTTTCTGTGAATTTCGGTCGGAGGCCGGATATAATATAATTGAATCCGCTTAAACCGACCTAACTGAATTAAGTATATATTTTTTTATTATTATTACATTAGCTTACTTGCCTAGCGACTTTAACCAAAAGCAACACTTATTGTTTGTCTTCGTCTTGGAAAATGTACAAACTGTGTATTTTTATATTTTCAAGATCTTTATATCTTTCCAAGAGAGAACCTTCCCAATCAAATATTTGACCCTTCACTTAACTCTCTCTATCTCCCCAATTCTGACGCCGTCTCTCTGACCCCAAACGACTCATCTCATCTCCTCTCTTTCTCTCTCCGTAATTCTGATGTCTTTTCCACTACCTTTCTCTCTCTATATATATATAGTTATTGAAACCACTGTCTCTTTTCTTTTCTCACCTACCTTCTGTCTCATCTTCCTTACCTTCTCTCTCTCTCTCTCTCTCTCTCTCTCTCTCTCTCAAACGTCTCCACTAGTTCATCACTCTCTCACTCTCTCTCAGAACAAATCCATCCATCTTTTACCCTTCCTCATCTCGACTTCCTCTTTTTTCTTTTTTCTAGAAATAGATACATCCATCTTACTCTCCCTTATCTCTACTTCTCTTTTCTCCCTACCCTCTTTCTATTGGTGGTATGGCGTTGGTGGTGGATAAGTGAAAAAATAATGATGGTGGCGACGATGAGTGATGGTCGTAGTGGTGGTTATGGCTGCAATGAGCAATGGTGGCAACGATGATCAACAATGGCTATCCCTCTCTTACTTTTTCTTTATTTTCTCTCCTCAAGTCTCATTCTAATTGTAAGAAATACATGTAATGTTTATACAAGTGTTTTTTTCTTTCAGATTGGATGTTTATGTGGGTTTAAGTTTGTTATTTTCAAAGTTTAATTTCACTTTTTATAATATTTTTTCTACTCTTTTTAGATCTACGAAATCGACCAAACCGATTGTCAAAATGATTTGTTTGGTTCGGGCGATTTCGAACCCTAGTTCGATCGATGACGGGTGACTGATTCTCTAACCCGAAGGTGTCGGTTCGGCTGCCGGGCTAAGGGCAAACCCAAGCTGAACCGACCTGTGGACACCCCTAACAGTGGTATCAGAGCCAAGTTGCATGTTTTCACCTCTTGATTAGTTTGGCATTGATTAGATTATTGTTTATACTGTTAGATTGATTCATCATTAAAATTGTTTTATATTATGGCATATTCAAGGAGTTTTTTTTTTTTTTTTGGGTAATTCACATACAGCATATTTTTTGTACTCAAAAGCAGAAAATAAAATTTTATTTTTTGCAAATGAAATTGACATATTTTGATTGTATTCTCCATAAGCTTTTTATTGATATAAAATAGGCTTTAATCGGAGTTAAATTGAAAAATATATGATTTTTCAAATTTTTTTAGTTAAATCTATATTTTCTACATACAGCAGATTTTTTGTACTCAGAAACAGAAAATAAGATTTCGTTTTTTGTAAATGAAATTGACATATTTTGATTTTCCTCTCCATAAGCTTTTTGTTGATATAAAAGTTGTTGCAACTCTGCATGCCTGACTGAGCGCGGCATGGGGTCGCAGCTCAGGCATGCGTTCTGCTCCCAAAATAGCAAGGTTATAGTGCAAACAAAGAGTTTGCTAATTGCTAAGTGGGCCTGCTATATAAATATATGGGCAAATTACCATGTAGTCCTATGTGGGGGATCTATTTCCCTTCTAATCCCAATTTATTTTTAATAGATGAATAGGTCCACAGTTTTTTAAGTTTTATACCCAGAGGTCCCGTTTTTTACTTTCGTATTTTTAAATGACTGTATTACCCTTTGTTTTGAGATCTATATGTACGTGAAAAATCAAATTTTTGCTCCGTTTAAAAAAAGGAAATCAAATCTTCGTCTGCGCGATCTCGATTTCTCTTCGTTGTGGCGATCTCATTGTGTTGTGTGGTCGATCTCATTGTGCTGTGAGGTGGATCTGGTTGTGCGATTTGAATCTCTGTGTACAGGCGATATCTGCGTACGTTGTCTCTCTCTCTCTCTTTCTCTCTCTCTGGTGATAGATATATGTATGTGTATGTATGTATGTATGTATCTGTCGATACATAGATATACATATATATGTATATTTATATGTCTGTGTGTGTATGTGGGTTGTATTTGTCGATATATATGTATGTATATATAGATAAGAAAATTTGCGTGATATGTGGTTTGTGTTTGGCGAATTTTGTTTGTTTGATTTTGATTTTGTTGATTTTGTTTGTCGTATAGTGTGATGTGTTTTGAAGTTGTATTTTTGGAATTGTGAATTCTGGTGTTTTGATACTGATATGTTGTAAGTGTATAATTTTGCAATTTGGAATTGTAAATTATGCACTGTTGGTATTGATATGTTGTAACTGTATAATTTTGCAGTTTGGAATCTGTGAACAATTGTTTGTTAGTATGGAGTGGTGTTTCATGTTAATGTGCAAATGCAGTAATTGTTGTGCTGCTATTAAGATTAGTGAGGGATGTAGTTATGATGAAGTTGTTGAGAAAATATGTGCGAAGTTCAAGGAGTTGAGTGTTGGTAACTTTTGTTTGTTTTTCTCTGTTCCTGGATATTCTAATTGTATTGTTGAATGTGATGATGATTTGGGGAATATGCTGTCAATGGTAGGTGGTAGTGGTTGTCATGTTGTTGATGTTATTGTGGGGGATAAGAGAGTTGTGGAGGTTGATGATGGTAATTCTTATAGGATTGATTCTGTAACTTGTGAGAGTTCTTTTGTGAATGATTGTGATGATGTTGGTGGTTTGTTGCGTAGTTTTTATCCAGAACCAAAGAGAGTTTTGTTGTCTGCTAGTTGGAAGGGGATTATACATAGTGTTGGTCAAGAATTTGAAGGTGGAGTGTCGGGGTTCCGCATTGCATTGGCTAAGTATGCAGTTGAGTGTGGTTTTGCAGTGAATTATTTGAAGAACGATGCAACAAGAGTAACCGCTGAATGTATGATGAAGTCGTCTACGGGTTGTAAATGGTTTGTGCATGGAAGGGTGTTGATGGATTCTGGTGTTTTTTTTTATAATGAAGTTGGATAATGTGCATACTTGTGGGGTTGTTGCTCGTAGATCTTGTAGCAAAATGGTTGGTTCTAAGCTTGTGTCTGATATTGTGCAAAATGATATTAGTGATAATCCGTTGACTCGTCCTATTGAAGTTAAAAAAAAGTTGAAGAAGCAATATGGTATAGATGTTTCTTATCGGGTTGCATGGTTAGGAGTTGATAAGGTAAGAGGTTGGTTGTTTGGTGATTTTGTAACTTCTTTTGACCAGCTTCGATGGTACCTTGAGACGGCTTTGAGAACGAATCCGGGAAGTGTGTTTGAATTAGATGTGGATGAAAGTAGTGGGTGTTTTCGGAGGTTGTTTGTGGCATTTCATGGATGTTTGTATGGCTTTCAATTTTGTCGTCCATTGTTGTTTGTTGATGGTACATTTTTGAAGGGGCATTTGCTTGCAGCAACATCAAAGGATGGCAATCAAGGTATGTATTTATTTGCAGTTAGTATTGGTTTAGTTTGTCAGTGTGTTATTGTATTGTGAGTCTGCTAATTTTTGCAGTTTCATGTGGTTTTGTTTGCAGGTTTGTTTCCTTTGGCTTTTGCGATTGTTGATGCTGAAAATCAAGATAATTGGATATGGTTCTTAAGTCAGTTGTTGAAGGCTGTTGGTTCAAGCCGGAGATTGACTTTTGTGTCAGACCGTCAACATGGATTGCTAGACGCTCTTTCAGTGGTTTTCCCCAATGCACATCATGCTTATTGCTTGAATCATTTGAAAAGAAATTTGATTGACAAATTGGTGGGACTTTGTACTAACTATAAGCTGTGTTTGATGAAAATATTAGTTAAATGTGCTTATGCGCCAACAGTTGCTTCTTTCCAACATTATATGGAGAAATTGAGGCGGATTGTTGGGAATGGTAAAGTTGATAGTATGTTGGATGGTTTGCAAAATGATAAGTGGGCCAATGCATTTTTTAGAGGGAAACGATATGGTGAGATGTCATCTAATGCTGCCGAATCTTATAATAATTGGATTGGTGGGGCCCGTGAGTTGCCTATTACTTGTATGGTTGATATGATTAGGGTTCAAATCGTGACTCAATTGTCGAATTGAAGAGCTGAATCTAAAAGATGGACTACGAAATTGTGTCCAGTTATGGAAAAGAAGTTGGTGGACTCTTTGGAGCTAGCTAAGTCTTGGGATGTGATTGTTGCTAGTGATACTGTGCTTGAGGTTCATTCTTCTATTTCTTTTTATGTTGATATTGGTAGACAGACTTGTTCTTGCCATGAATGGCAATTGAATGGTTTTCCTTGTTGTCATGCTGTGCATGCTTTGCGTAGTAGTGGTAGAGATGTGTATGGTTTCATTGATCCTTTTTTTCATGTAGATTGTTTTAGAGAGTCATACAAGGAATCTGTTTATCCAGTGCCTTCAAATGAGAGATTTGACTTTGATGGTGCCAGTAGTTCGGTTATCAAACCTCCTATAACGAAGAAGCAGCCCGGGCGGAACAAGAAGAAGAGGATACCTTCAAGGGGTGAGAATGTGAAGCAAATCAAGTGTGGGAAGTGCTTGAAATATAGGAATCACAATAAGAAGACGTGCAAGGCTGCTATTTGAGGCCACAATCTATTCTTTTGGATTTGTATTTGAATTTGAGGAATTATGATAATAAAAAATGTGATACTTGGTATTATAGAAGTAATGAATAAAGTTGGTTGAATTGTTTTTTGTTTGTTGATGTGTTTTTTACTTATTGAAGTTGTTTTCGAATAGTCTGGTTTTGTTTTTTATTTTTATGGAATGCAGAGAAGGTTGTTGAAAATTTCTTATTGAAACAGTATAATATGGAAAGGCAGTTCATATTTCATAGTGATAAAACTGTATAATTTTGCAGTTTTAAGAATTATTTAGAAACAACCTGATGAAACCGCATAATTTTACAGTTTTAAAAATTATTAGAAACAAGCTAATGAAACTGCAAAATTTTGCAGTTTGAAGAATTATTAGAAACAACCTTTACTGTATGAAAATATATGCAACCACAAACAAGTAGACAAACAATCAGAAGAAGAACCACAATAATAATAACAAGAAGAAGAGCAACAACAACATCAATCATTTTCACCATAACCATGATAACCAGAAAAAGATCATTCCCAAAAGTATATAAAGTACTTGTCACATGTTAAAAAAGAAAAATAAAAAAAAAAAGTTCAAAGATATGTTCCCTTGAATATTTGTATTGTCAAGAATGTGGTGGCCGGCCACTAAAGCCACTTGGCCTTTTTGACCCTTGGCCGGCCGGCTAGGGGGGGTGGCCGGCCGGCCACATCCAAGTCCAATAATGGGCCGGCCATGTTCCTCTCTCTGCACACTTTACAGCTGTATAGCTGTTTCCCCCAGAAAATATCCCAATCCGGGGGATATTTTGTGGGGGAAAGCTTGCCTACTTTTCCTCCACCTTTTGCCTCCCTTTGCTCCCTCTTTTTTGTTCATATAACCAGAAGGTGGCATTGGGGATAGGGGTTGGAGAAAATCATCTTCAAGCCTTGATGCAAAAATCATCCTCCATCTCTCTCATTTCCTCGAAAACCTCCAAGTCCAACACCACCATTTCTATTACACCACCACCCCCCACCCTTCCATCCTCCATTCCAGAAGTGTGAAGGTGTTCTCCAAGGCCTAAGGAGCCACAAACTCAATCCAAGAAGCAACAAGAGACTTGTCTTCAAGGGTGAGTGCCATTTCCCTATTTTTGAGCTTATTTTTGCACCAATTTCTTAGCCAACATGCTTACTGATTTGAGCTCCAACCAAAACTGAAAAGGTCATTTTTTTGAGCTCATTTTCTTGTTTCATTAAGGGCTCAACCCTGTTTGAGGCCCCCATATTGCACTTGCTTCAATATCCCCTTGTATGTCAATTTTCTTGCATGATTTATTAGCCCATTATGCTTTCATTTTTGGGCATTTTACAGTACTAAAAATAGTCTTATTTTGGCCCATTCTTCATGTTTTATTAAGTGCCTTTCATGGTTTGGGACCTCCATATGCTACTTCATGTTATATCCCCTCTTTGGTCCCCATTTTTGCATGCTTTGGCAGCCTATCATGCTTCTGTTTTTGGCCGTTTTACAGTACTAAAAATAGTCTTATTTTTGCCCATTCTTCATGTTTCATTAAGGGTCTTTGGCTGTTTGGTGAATGCTTTGCATACTTTGTGTTATAGCCACCTTTTGAGCCTCATTTTGCATTGCATTTCTAGCATGTTTGTATACTGTTTTGGGGTTTTTACAGTTCTGTAAATATGTATATTTTTGGTCCCTCTTCAATGTTGTAGAAGGGAATTTTTCAGTTTGGGCTTTGTATATACCACTTGCTTCTTTGGCCACCTTTTGGCCCATTTTCTTGCATAAACGCTTAGCCATATCTTTGTTTGTTTTTGAGGTTTTTACAGTTCTGTAAAGTGGCTTATTTCGGGCCCCTCTTCAACTTTGTTGAAGGGCCCTAACCTATTTGGAGTTAGCAGCTGTGAGTTGCTTCATAACCTCATGTTTAGGGCCATTTTTGCATGCCATTGTTGCCCTATCCTTGTTTGCTGTTTGGCCATGATTTGTACTGGAAAAATGCTTATTTTTGGGCTGCCTTGTTTCTTTCTTTTCATTCCATGTACCAATTATGCATGCTTTGTATAGCTGTAGTTCATTCTATGCGCCTAATTTTGCATTTCGGGAGAGATTCCATGCATCGGGTGTGTTTTTGCCTCATTTCGGGGCTGTTTTCCCCCACATTTCATTGCTGAAAATCCATGTTGCATTCTATATGCCATTTTAGCCATATTGCATTGCGTATGCCATTGCCTTGGTTTGCGTGCCCGTGTGCACGCATTTCGAGGCACTTCATTTTCGTCCATCGGCCTCTTATGTGAGTGTGGCTGAGGCTCTCTCATGTTAGTGTAAGTCCATGTTGCATTTTATATGCCATTTTCATGCCATATTGCATTGCATATACCATTGCCTCGGTTTGCGTGCCCGTGTGCACGTATTTCGAGGCACTTCATTTTCATTCATCGACCTCTTATGTGAGTGTGGCTGAGGCTCTCTCATGTTAATGTAAGTCCATGTTGCATTCTATATGCCATTTTAGCCATATTGCATTGCGTATGCCATTGCCTCGGTTTGCGTGCCCGTGTGCACGCATTTCGAGGCACTTCATTTTCATCCATCGGCCTCTTATGTGAGTGTGGCTGAGGCTCTCTCATGTTAGTGTAAGCCCATATCATATTTTCATGTCATTTGCATTGCGTATGTCATTTTCTCGATTTGCGTGCCCGTGTGCACGCATTCCGAGGCATCTCATTTTCACAGCATTGTGCATACTAGGTTGTATCTTAGTTGCATTCATGCATATCATGCATATTGCATCGTATTCGGGATAGGAGTTAGCCCGGGCACGGGAAACGAGGTGCATTTCGTACTCCGAGTGACGGAATGCGTCTCAATTCCCTAGTCACCGACACTCTGGATTATCCATGATGGAGTTAGGTTTTAGCTGTGTTTTCATGTGCATTCATTCTATATTAAGTTGTGCAATTCGACCCCCCGGCCATCATGCCTCGATATGCGTGATTGGTGGACGAGGATCGAGGCATGCATATATTTGTGAAAATACATTGCTATGCCCCTTTCCTGCTCTCTGTTGCAGCAAACCAAGAATCAGCGGTCTTCCGAGGCTTGGCACACATTTCAAGAACAGGTGCAAACAGAAGCTAATTGGGGCATCCCGGTGGATTTCCGCGCAAGGTAGCCTAGACATGCATCATTCATCAGAAGCAAGGCAGTCCCTGACTTGCATGCCAGTTTTACAGTTTTCTTAGTTAATTTGGTTAATTAATTAGGAATTTGTACATTATTTGGACTGTATTATTTGGACTGTACTATTCTTTTATTCGGGACTGTATTATTTATTTGGACCCTCTGCGCGAGGGCACAACTGTAATAAGCGTGGGTGAGTGTGATGTATGTCTTCCAACCTCATGTCTTTCTTCCCTTTTATTTATCCGCTTTTGATGGTTAGATTAGGGCATGTTTAAATTAGCATACAGTATGACAGCATGTTTGCATCATTCATCTGTATTGCATGCACCGGGCTCGGTGCATCATACTAACTGCATTGTACTTTCAATTCTAAATTGAATACATGATAGTTGTAGCATTTCATATGCCATCTTAGAATAGCCGAGCCTACTATAGTTGCATTTTGCATGTGTTGCATTAGGCATTTCTGTATACTTAGGATCATGCATGATTTCTAATGTAAATTCTGTTTTGGCTTGGAGTACCCGGTGAGTTTTATGCTTTAGCATCCTTGCATGCGTGTGAGTGATTGCCATAAATAGCATGCTTACCATGAGGCTATTTGCTTATGTGATATAAATACCTGAATGCCTGTGGGTGAAGGTTGGGTTATTTGAATTGGAATAATTCATCAAATGTGTGTTTTAAGCCCACTAGATAGTGGCAAAATCATGTTTTCTAAGCCCACCCAAGGATGGCAAATTCACGTCTTAGCCTACTTGCGGGTAGCACCATCAAACCACTTTCAAATAAACAAACACGAAATGTTTTGTTCCAATTCAGGCAACTCAGTCTATACTTATATGCTGTGTGCATCACATAGTAACCTAGGCTAATAACCGGAATAAGGACACACAAAGTTTTCAAAATTTGATATCATGGTTAGTAGAGGCCGATCTTTGATCGGGCGAGCGGGGGTGCTCACGAAGTGACCTTCCCCAATCGTACCCAAGTTCCCGAGCCGAGGCAACTTTGGTGATGACGGACACGTGGCCTTTTGGCACCGAGTCAGGGTTTCCTAAATTTCCCAAAATAAAATATTTAGGTGGCGACTCTGTATCTGGCAAAGCGGTCCATGTTTGGCACTTCTTTCAAAAATCTGTTTTCTCAAAACGATTTGCCGGATTTGGACTCTTTGGTTCAGACTTAGAACCGTGACAAATCGAGTCTGAGCTGTAGCGAGGTCCCACGCGGGCTTGTTACACAGCCCGGGCGGAACAAGAAGAAGAGGATACCTTCTAGGGGTGAGAATGTGAAGCAAATCAAGTGTGGTAGGTGCTTGAAATATGGGAATCATAATAAGAAGACGTGCAAGGCTGCTATTTGAGGCGACAATCTATTCTTTTGGATTTGTATTTGAATTTAAGGAATTATGATAATAAGAAATGTGATACTTGGTATTATGGAAGTAATGAATAAAGTTGGTTGAATTGTTTTTTGTTTGTTGCTGTGTTCTTTACTTATTGAAGTTGTTTTGTAACAGTCTGGTTTTGTTTTTTGTTTTTATGGAATGCAGAGAAGGTTGTTGAAAATTTCTTATTGAAACAGTATAATATGGAAATGCAGTTCATATTTCATAGCGAGAAAACTGTATAATTTTGCAGTTTTAAGAATTATTAGAAACAACCTGATGAAACCGCATAATTTTGCAGTTTTAAAAATTATTAGAAACAAGCTGATGAAACTGTAAAATTTTGCAGTTTGAAGAATTATTAGAAACAACCTTTACTGTATGAAAATATATGCAACCACAAACAAGTAGACAAACAATCAGAAGAAGAGCCACAATAATAATAACAAGAAGAAGAGCAACAACAACATCAATCATTTTCACCATAACCATAATAACCAGAAAAAGATCATTCCCAAAAGTATATAAAGTACTTGTCACATGTTAAAAAAGAAAAATAAAAAAAAAAAAGGTACAAAGATATGTTCCCTTGAATATTTGTATTGTCAAGAAGTTTGTTCATTGTTTCTATGGTTTGGTATGTTTTGTCAACATTTGGTAGTGCTCGAGTTTCCAGGATTGGTTCTCATCATTGAGGAATTGATTGATGATTTGTGCTCGAAATTTGACCCACTCAGTTGGACGAAGTTTTTTCTGCACAGGTTGCCAGTTGAGATATTGGTTGATAACATTGCAGACGGCAATTGCACAATCATTCCTGCAATGTTTGAGATGAAGTTAATTAGTTAGGTGAAACTGCAAAAATTAGCATATTGGAAGATTAGTTTATGGATTTTGTATCTTACGAGTGTGGGGTTTGTTGTGGGCATTCCTCAATTGATGCAATTTCTGTCTCGCACTCTTGAGATGAAAACATGTTTCCCTATTTGCTGAGTAATGCTTTATTTCATCTCAGTTGATGTTGTTGCTACAAAATAGTTAGTGGGTGTTTTTGTTAGTTATAGTGATGAGTTGAGATGTTTGTAAAGGAATGGAACTAAGTATGAAATTTTATTTTAACTTACAATTTGCTTTGCAATTTCAAAGTGCTTGTTATGGCAATCTTTTGCTGGTCTCAACGAGTCATAGTGTCTCCATATTCCATCAGCATTGTCAAAGACCACAATTGTCCAATGGTTGTCGTGTTGATTCGAGAATGACTATATCTGTTTTTCATTGCTTCTGGAAAATGGTTGTCCATCAGTTTTTCTCTTAGTGCTGTGATCTTGGTTTTGTAGTGGAGTCTGTAAGTTATATATATGTGAAAATATGTTATAAAACTATGTAATAATACATGTTAAAAGTAGAAAAATTTTGCAGTTGTAAGGTATGTTAAGTTGCTTACATTGAAGAGTGATGAGAAAACATAAGATCTTCCTGCATATAGATTGCTTGCAAAAACTAGATCGTTTTCTCAAATTCTTCAATGGTTGGTTGGAGTGCCATTTGCTTTCTGAGAAGGCATCAATGACCTTGAAACATGTTATATATGATAATGTTAGGTTTGTGGAATACGGTTATTGAATTGTACAGAAACTGTAAAATTGTTGCAGTTGGAAGACCTACATTCCCATATAAGGGTTCCTGTTGGTCAATCTGCATATATCTGAAAAGTATACGCAGTTTTCATCTTCGCTGCCAGACCAGACACAAGCACTTGATGTGTGTTGTTGATGAGTTGAATTGGTCTTGGTCTTTTTGGATAGGGTATGCCAAACCTTGTTTGTTTGCGGCATGAAATGGCGAGTGGCTTGTTTGGGATTGATTCTTCCTGGAAATCATCATCACTTTCCAATACTAGAAGTTTGTCTTCTTTTGATTGGCATGCTCTTTTGGTTTTTTCAGCAGCAACTGCTTTCTTCTTGCCAATATGTTCTTGCATCTTTTTCTTTCTGCTGTTGTTTTGCTTCATGAGCACCTCTTTTTTGTTGTCATTCTTCTTCCTTTTTCTTCATCGGTCCCTGTGTTGGTTTGGGTACATCAGCAGCAGTTTGTGTCTTGTTTCTTGCATCTTCTTTGGGTTTGGTCATTGGTTGGTATCAAAATCTGGGTCATGGGCTTGTTTTCTTGATTTTGTTTGATTCTCTTGACCATGGATCTTTGTTGGGGGACTGCCAGTTTTTGGTGGACATTTCCTTCAATTGCCTTCTTTTTTTACGCAATTCAGCCATGAATTTTTGTTTCCATTTTCTTGCATTGTCTCTCATGGCTGATATGATCTTGTTCTTGTCGTCCTTTTTGGTTGGTGTTGGTAGTTGGTCATGACCATAAAATGTTGGATTGTGTTTTGGTTATTTTAATGAAATTTGCAGTATGCTTTAGTATAGACCAATAGTTTTACCTTGTGCATGAAATAGTCAAATTTCTCTTGCAGTTCTTCTTGTTGGTTTCAGTTCTTGTTCATTGACTTCTTCTTGTTGGTTTGTTTGTTGTTCTTCTTGTTCTTGTCTTGTTGTTGTTGTTGTCTCTTCTTCTTCTTCTTCCTTCAGTTTTTCTTCAGTTCAGTTTCTTCTTTCTTCATCAAGTTTCTTCTTCATACAGTTTTTCTTTCATCAGTCACTTGATTTTTCTCATCATCTTTTTTCCTGTTCATATTCTAGTTCTTCTTGTGGTTTTTGCTTCTTTTCTTTTTCTTTTTTTTGTTGTTCTTCTTGTTCTGATTGTGATTCTGATTCTGAATGATGTTCTTACTTCGGAAAGTCATCCTCATCACTGTCTGAAGTGTTCTTTTTTTGTTGCTTTTGTTTTGTTTTTTGCTTATTGTCCTTTTTGTGGTCTTGTTTCTTTTGCTGAAGAGTCTGTTGATGTGCTTTGATTGATATGCAATAACTGTATTTCTTGTTCAATTGGGGTTAAAGCACTTTGGTTAACCTGCATTGGAAGCAATGTGGCATATATCAATAATACTGTAAATTTGGTCAGTTTCATAAGATGATGTTTACTGTGAGTAATGTGGGTTAAGTGTCGAAATATGTTTTTTGAACTAAAAATTTACAGTTTCATAATATGATTTGTACTGTGAATAATGTGAGTCAAGTGTTGAACATATATTGTATGAAACTGTCAACTGAAGAATTTGACAGTTTCATAACATGATTTTTACTATAATGACTATGAAATGAGTGTTGAACAGATTTGTGTTATGATAGTATAGAAGAGTTTGAATACCTTTTCAAAGTGAGCGAGGCTGATGTGTTTCCACTTGGAGTACATTTTGCCAAGGTTCCATTTCATAAACCTTGGGAAGCCTTCTTTGTTGGATGGTCGGAGGAGTTTACTGTGCTCACAGTACCAGTACTGTAAAAAAAAAAAAGTTGAAATATGTTAGATAGTTAGAAATAGGTGGATGTCTTATATTTTTGTGGGAAGTAGTTGAGTAATGTGTTTACCAAGAGTAACATGACGCATCTAGTGACATGCCTTGGGTTGTTGTTTGTATTTGCCATTGAATTCATCAGTGTGTTTTTTATTGCCTCAACCCAATTGTACTTCTTGATGTTGTTGAGGTTGTCAACATAGTTGAGGAAACTCCAACTGAGTGTATGGCCTGTTGTGGGCATGAGAAGTTTCAAGCACAAGTAAAGGGTGATTACCCTTGCAAGATCTTGACGATCATTGGTTAATTTTCCTTTTTTTGTTTATTGAAACAATTTGGTCAATGACTTGGCATCCAATGTCTTTATTGATTTGCATCTTCGTTTGTAAAATGGAAGCTCAAAATCCTTTGGTCTTGCATAGGATTTGGTGGTGATGCTGTCTTCTCCACAGTCGATACCAAAAATGAGCTTGACATCACTGGTTCTGAGTTTCATTTCCTTTTTGCCAAGTACAAATGATCTTTTTCTTTTGTTGTAGAGTGTTGTCATTTCTGCTACAATGGAATTGTAGCATCTGCACCAAGAGGCCTTCAGTTGTGTTGAGGAGAGAGCATTTATAAGGGGCCAAAAAGGGGTTTTTTGCAGCTCTGTCTGTTGGGCTTTTGTGAATTTGACCCCCTTCAACAGTTTGATTACCGTTCCGATGTTGGAACGATAATTAAATTGTTGGACTCTCTTTGCAGGGACTGCCTTTTTTTTTTCTTTTGATGCCTTGGTTTTTGTTTTGGGAGTTGATTGGCTTTCTTGGAGCTTTCTTTTTTTGGTTGGAGGAGCTTCTTGGTTTTTTGTTGGCTTTCTTTTGTTTGTTTTTGTTGTGGTTGGAGGTGTGGTTGGTGTTTGTTGGGTGGGTGGGGTCTGTGGTGTAGTTCTTGGGCTTTTTCTTGTAGGTGGTGTGGTTGTTTTGTGGGTTTTTTGGTGGGGTCTGTTGGATTTGGTTGTTTTTGGGTGTGGTGGTGGCATTTGAGTGGATACAGGAGAGGGACTTTCAAAAGGGGAGATGGTTAAATCCCTGATTGGATTTGTGGGCATACGGGTTTGTTTCTTCCAATATCTTCCAACAGCTATTTCTGAAAAAATGAAAGTGACAACAGGGTATGAGTAATATAGTGACAAAACTGTATAATTTTGAAGTTTTATATGCAGTTTAATATGAAGTTATATGTATTTTGTTGGTAAGAGTTACGAAACTGTATAATTTGACAGTTTGATTTGCACTTTATAATAAGTTAGCTATTTGTTTTGAGTAGTGGTTAAACTGTGTAATTTTGCAGTTTCATTTGCATTTTGAATAAATTTAGATATGTTGCTTGTATAGTGATGAAATGAAACACTATGATGTTGCAGTTTTTATAAGGAAACAGTATGAACATAGGAACAGCCCATTGTATTTTGTAAAAAGCAACAATAACAACAAGAAGATTAAAAATTCAAAAATAAGAATAAGAGAAGCCAATATTGAACAACAAGAATAAGAATAAGGTGTTGAATGTGTAAAAACAGGGATTTATGTGTAAAAACAGTGTTTAGAATGTTGAAAAACAGGGGACTATATATATATTAAAAGAGGGTTTATACATTTGGAAGTATGTAAAATGTGTATATAAGAAATATTAAAGAATGATGTACAAATGTGAAAAATAATGAATAGGTGAAGAGAGATGTTACTTTTTTTCCCCATTTTTGTGAATCGGAAGTCAGGAACTATGAAATCTCTTCAGAGTGGTGATGGTTCTTCGTGTTGTTGAGAGTCGCCGATTGGAGAATATGAACGGCTTGGTGTTGTGTTGAAGATGAACGGTTTGGTTTTGTGGTTAGGGTAGGGTTTCAGAGAGAATGGAGTCGAACGGAGGAGAGATGGAGGATTGAGAATGCGATTTCGAGCGGCGGAGATGTAACAGTGTACTGATCAGACTGAGATGATTGTGGGTGATGAAGTGAACGGTTACGTTTTCTGGTTAGGGTTAGGGTTAGGGTTTCAGAGGGGATGGAGTTGAACGGAAGAGAGATGGAGGACTGAGGAGTCGATTTCGAGCGGCGGAGACGTGACAGTGTAGTGATCGGACTGAGATGATGGGGACGTGGGAGATGGTTGCGCGCGTGTAAATTGGATGATATATTGTGGGTATTTTCGTCTTATTGTTAATTTGAGGACTTAATAGAGTATTAAATTTGTTTTGGGTCTAAATGGGTTATGATATGTTGGGCTTGGACCTTTGGGTCAGACGCCCTAAATATATTTGCTATTGCTATGTTGGGCTGGGTTTAGCAGATGGATCATTGATCCAGCCCAAAAGTGTTGGGCATATTGTTGCTAATTTCTGGTCTATCCAAATGGTGAGTTGGAAGGAGTAATGGCTCATGCAAATGTCAGGGCTTTTGTGACCACTAATTTTTTTTTATAATCTAAAAAAAATAAACAAATAACTGAAAAAAATTTAAAAAAGGAAAAGAAAATATTCTAGAATTTTTTTTTCTGTTTTATTAATTATTGTGCATAATTAATTAACTCCTTTTAATATTGTTAGCACTTTATTTTGTGCTATTAAATTGTTGAGTTAATTTATTTCCTGATTAATTAATATGTTGGTTATGTACCAATATATTAAATATGCATCCTAGGTTTTATTGTCCAACACTCTTTTCCTTAGATGGAATTGTAGTTGAACGCCATCCTTTCACCCATTTAAAATTGCTTTTATTTAGGGTATGTTTGGTAACCATTTTATTTTCAGTTTACAGTTTATATTTATAAAAATTTAAAAAACTGTGGTAAAAACTCGTTTGGTAAAAAAATTGATTTATAATTCGACTTCCTAGTTTATAAATTTTACCCAAAAAATGGAAACAGAAAAAACCTGTTTTCGCTGATTTAATAAACTGGCACTATAGCGGAAGTTACTGTAGCGGAGCTGATTTAATAAATGGTCCATCTGATACAAGCATATCAAATCCTATGTAAGCCCAAACCCCTAACATGTCTATGAAAAACATCCCTTGCAATGGGTTTGGTTAATGGATCAACAACCATGTCACTAGTAAAGACATGCCTTAAAACCACCAATCCCTGCGCAATGATATCTTGAATTAAGTGATAACAGGTATCAATATGCTTAGTTCTCTCATGATATTTGGGTTCTCTCGCATAAGTTATAGCAGTTGTGCTATCATAGTAGACCACAACAGCCTCATCCAAAATGCCCTGTTACATTCAAGCTCTACAAGAATCGCCTTAACCATATTGCTTCTTGAACGGCAATAGTGCAAGCCACGTATTCTGACTCCATCATGGACAAGGAAACACACTGTTGTTTCTTACTACACCATGAAATGGCTCCTCCTCCAAGCACAAAAGCATTAAATGATTTACGCTGATCTCTATTAGCAAACCCATCTGCTTTACTAAATCCGACCAAACTAAGAGAACCACCTTTAAAGCATAAAGCGAAGTCTACAGTCCCTCGCAAATACCGAAATATCCTCTTAACTATAGCCCAATGTATAGCTCCAGGTTTACTTTGATATCGGCTAAACATTCCAACCGCGAAACATATGTCAAGTTGAGTACACATCATAGCATACATCAGACTACCAATAGCACTCACATAGGGAACATTAGCCGCCTACCTCTTTTCATCCTCTGTTTTAGGACTTTGCATGGTGCTATAAATTTGACCTTTCTCAATTGGAGTGTCTATTGGTCTGGAATAGTGCATACGAAACCACTCTAAAATCCTCTTTATGTAAGTCTCTTGAGACAAACTAATTTGGAGATCTTAACTCCTAGCACATAATCTGCATGACTCATGTCTTTCATCCCAAAATAGAAGACAACCACTTTTGAGTAAAATAAGTCAACTCCAAATCATTCCCAACTATCAAAATATCGTCCACATATAATGGGGGTGTTTGGTGTGGATTATAGGGGGTGATTATAGCTTATTTTAATTTAGGACTCCATGCTGGACTGTTTGGTGCAACTTCTGCTTTTAGCTTTTTAAGTAGAAATAGCTTAAATAAGCTGAGAAAAGATGATTATTTAGAAGCTGGGGACTAGGTGCTTTTGATTTCTACTTTCTGATTCTCAGCTTTTAGCTTACAATAAGTTGCATCAAACAGCACCAATGATAAGATAAGAAACGTATTCCCAATCCTCTTGACATACACGCAATGGTCTTCTTCTATCATCACAAAACCCATAGTGACAATAGTTTGATGAAATATACTGTTGCCTAGACGACTGTTTCAAGCCATAAATAGAACACTTTAAGCGACAAACCTTGCGTTCTTTTCCCTCAACCTAAAATCCTATTGGTTGATCTATATAGATCTCTTCATCTAGTTTTCCATTGAGAAATGCTATCTTTACATCCATTTGGAATAATTTCTAGATATGTAACGATAGCTAAAATGATGCGAATTGAGGCAAATCTCACCACATGAGAGAATGTCTCCTCATAAGCTATACCCTTTTATTGGATATAGCCTTTCACCATGAGTCGAGCCTTGTTCTTGTCAATTGATCTATCAACCTTGCGCTTAATTTTTAAGACCCATTTGTTACCAATGGTCTTGTGCCCAGATAAAAGGTCAACTAACTCCCATACATTATTATTAGCCATTAAGCTCATCTCTTTCTACATAGCAGTTATCTATTTTTCTGAATTGGGTGATTTTGTGGCTTTCTCAAAAGAAGCTGGCTCATCAGTATCCACAGAAATAGTCATGAATGACTCCCCTTCTATATTGAAGAGTCAGCGAGGAACTATTCCACATTGGCTTCTACGAATCTGTGGATCTTCAGGGCCTCCTAATGGTATACACCCACTGGGTAGAGGATCGCTCCCACTATCTCTAACAACCATTAAATAAAGTTATGATTCCTCATCCTGAATGTTCGATATGGAAAGTTCTTCTAACTCATAGAGTTCAAGATCCTTTTTTACCTCACCAATGCTTGGAAAATCCTCTTCTAGGAAATTAACAATGCATGGCTCTATTTTAGTCATTCCCCCATTTGGGTGTTCACCATACATAACATAGCCCTTAGAGTGTTCTAAATATCTAATAACAACACATTTATTTGCTCTATGACCTAATTTCCCATACTTTTGAGAAGTATTGTGAACATATCCAACCAATCCCCATGGGTGTAAACCTTCTAAATTAGGCTTTTCACCATTTCA